AATTAGATTTAAACATGGCAGTTAAATTACAAGCTTTTGTTATTATTTATGTCTTCTAGCCACTTACAAGATACACTTACAAGAAGAAAGAAACGAGATGAGGATTGTTTACGGATAAGCAAAATGATCCACCTGAAATGTTGCGCGATTTTCTCAGAGTATCATTACGAAATAAGCGTTAAAGAAGAAGAATAAGAAGAAATAAAAAGGGAAATAAAAAAGAAAGAAAAAAGGAAATAAAGTAAAAACGAAGAAAAAAATAGGACATAAAAAAGGAAATAAAGAAAGAAAGAAAAAATAATTTCTTTTGCGATTTATAGTTCGACGATATTTCTTCTATGTGATATAGGGACATTTATTAGTTGAATGTGTAGGACAAGTCGGTAATATAAATTTTATTTCTTGTATAAATTTAATATGACATGAATTTTGTTTTTTTGAAGCTTCGATTTCAATTTTAAATTTATTAAAAATAATTTTGTTAAAACTGTTTTACTGTTTCCATAGAAAATTTGTTCTAAATTTGTTGAATAAATAATTTTGTTAGAACTGATTAAAGGGTGGACATGAAAGAGGTTGAAAGGGTTGAAATTGAATTTTTTAAGATTTCATCGGAGACTAACTTTGTTTGATGATATAAAACTGTCTTTTTTTTTTTATTAATTAATAAAACTTTAAGCTACTTAAAAATATTAGAATATCATCTGTTGAAAAATATATTAACTTTTAATATGTATTATCGATGAATAAAAAAATTGTTTCGTTAAAAATTTCTTTTTTTTAGTACGTATAACTATTTTTATTAATTCTATTGAAATTTATTGGTATTTATTATATACTTTTATAATTCTAAATATTTTTATCTACAACCTTTATAAAAAAAGTTTCATTTAATAGTTGTATTACAATAAATATTTATCGAAATATAAAACAATCTTCATTGTCAATCATATATTTTAATTTCTAAAATCATGTTTTCAACATGCTGCGATCAATTCATAAATCTATAAGTACATTTTTACAAGATAATAATGAATAAGATTGTTAGACAAATAAATATTATTTATTTTTAAAATAAAATAGAAAGAATAGAAGATTTTACGTATAATCAGTCATAAAAGGAATACAGGAACTGAATTCGAGAAATTATTATAAATCATATTCTCTTTTTATCTTTAAGATAATGTCTTTTCTTATTGTGATAGAAATCGTTTCGAAACAATAAAAAAGAAATGTAAATTCTTTTCTCGAATGGCCATTTTTCCACCGGTTAAATAAATGAAATTTTCGAGTATTTAAAGAATTTTCTCTTATTAATTGTTTCTATGTAGTTTAAGTTTTTAAATTACCTTTTAAAATTTATTACTTTATTATTTTTAAATTACTATTTTCGTATTAATTTTTTATAATACAGATTTTGAATGACAAAGAATAATTAAAATTGAAATGAAATTATATAAAAAAACAAACAAACAAACAAACATTGAATTATACATTCATTTCATGGATTTAAAAACGAGAGATTGATATTCGAAAACGATTCTTTATAATTGTTAAAATCGATAAGTGAATTTTATTCATCGAAACATTTTTTCGGCGTTTTCAATTAAAAAGGAAAACATATTTCTTAAAAAAAAAAAAATAAAAATAAAAAAAAACAAATGACAATTTAAAACATTTATATAAAAAAATGAATTTTTAGCAAAATATTTTTCGATTCCAGGAGAATTTTCAATAAAAGAGAAATAAATTATAAATATGTAAAATATTTAAATCTATCAATAGTATAATTAATTTATACACATTGAGAAAAATAAATAAAATAAAACAAAATGAAATGAAATAAAATAAAATAAAATAAAATAAAATAAAAAAGCATATTACAGATGAATATTTAATACATTTTCAAGCACAAACATTAATTTTATGTTGAATAGATTTTCGTCTTGATGAAATTGTTTATAATAATTGATTCAATGCTAGATGTGTAATTTCTGGGAATATTAAAGAAGCCTTAGAATCTAAAGTTTAGATGATAGCCGTAAGTACAATTCACGATTGTGTTAGTGCGATAATTTCAGTGGGCTAAATCGAGCTTTGTCAGAGTTACAGAGTTGCAAGCCATAAATCGTGAACAATGTAAACTCGAAGAGTATTCCAATTCACGGCTGATATATATTTTGTATTAATTATACGATTCTGATTCTAATTCCTATTTATAGAAGGATTCTAGTAAACCGGGAACCAGTAAAGAGGGCATTATATGTGTAGAGAAAATTTCTAGAAGAATACTTGGTAAGTATCTCTTTTTATAAATATCTTATTTATTAATAATTTATACAATTAAATACTTTGCAACAATATTCTACTACATTGTTATAAATATTACTGTAAAATATTGTTGTTATTTTATATTTGAAATATTCTGTGATACATTTATCAAACAAAATATAATAATCCAAAAATCAATATTATTACTACAAACATTGAGAAGAAAATTTGGAAGAAATGAGAAAAATAAATAAACTGTTTACATAAATATTAATCATAAAAAAATATTCATTTAATAATTACTGTTGATTTGCAAGAAGTATAATACAAATAGTGTAAATAAATATTTTAAGAAATTAATTTGCAAGTTTTCACGATAAAAAATTATTAATTAAATTATTAGCTTTATAAATCGGCGATCTATACCTTATTTTTCAATAAATTCTCTATAATTCGGAGAAACATGCAATCACAAAGTATAAAATATAAATATATTTGTCTGCACATTAACGAAAACACTTGATAAGCTATTCCCTATAAAAGAAATAACTTAATCTTTCTTTCAATTCACAAAATTGATCTAATCACAATACGCAGAAAAGCAAAACATTATTTATAAATAAATATACACACTATAATTCTTCATAAAAGATCCAAAAAATCCATCTACTCTCAACATCAATCAATACAATTAATTCTTGATCACTATCATAACCAAATCACACAACTATCAAACATACATTGTTGAAACAGTTCATCGTATCTCTTCCAGCTCATAACTTTATTATCTTAACTTATTCATATATATACACCAAATACACCTATACTCCAATTGTTCAAAAAAATTTATGAAAAATTAACCCAAAACCACCACCTATATTTCCAATTATAGAATAACATATACAATTAATTCACGATCACGAGAAATCTAAGAAACTTTTTATCACATTCGTCTACTACACACAGAAATCGTTCGAACGAATCTGTGAAAGATGATGCACAAGAGTACCATTTCTCCTCTCCTCAACCCCTCATCCCCTGGCGCCAACATGCATCCGATTTGTTTCGATCGTATTCGCGATTCTTCCTTCGCGTATTGCACCGGTTGTACCCGTCGCATTCGGCGAACTGCATCCACGGGAGAAGAGGAATTGGCACCTGGCCAACCGGTTACGCAACGCGTTAATTCGACGACCCAGACAGAATTGCACGCGCGTTTAGTAGGAATGGGTCGTCTCCGAGTCCGTAGACCGGCTTAGTTTTCGATAATTGCATCGAGTGTTTCGCTCGATAGCGTAGTGCAAAGTGGATTAAACGCGGACCTTCGACTCGATTAATCGTGGAGGAGGCACGCGAACACGGTTTCGCGCGATCGATCGGGTGTAATTGACGTCAAATCTCCCGTGGACGTCGCGCGGATCGCTGAGAGCGAAGGATGGGCGCGATGGGCCAGGTGTATATCATTTTTCATTGTGTCGAAATTTTTTCCCCCACCCGTTGGTGATGGAGAATCTGGGATTTCTGAATTGGTGTGATAAATTTAATTGAGAGAAGTACGGTGAGAAAGATAATCGTAGTAAGAGGCTATAATTTTTTAAATTCGAATGGAATAATTTCTTTGTACTTGAAATATAGTTTTTGTTGAAACGAAAGGGAAAAAAGTTTTAGACAATTAATAACGTAGAAGTAAATAAGTGTTCACTAGCTCGTGAAGTTGATAAACAGCATTGTAATTTATAAGGAAATTAATTGTCTGTGAAACTGATAAACGATACTGTAATTTGTAAAGATTAAATGGCGCTAGAAAGCCGATAAAACTAAAATTCTTTACAGTGATAATTATCTAAAAGCTCTTTTCCTAGCTTGTGCAAAATAAACAATTGTATTTAGAAAATCTTATTGTCTAGTTATTCATTGATTTATATTTTCATATAAGCTAAATTATTATCATTAATGGCCTAATTCATTTCATAATTAATCATAATTATTTCTAGTAATTTATTAAAAATTTAACTCGAATTACTAGAAATTACTAATAATTATTCTAGTTATATAATATAATAACTATTCTAGTTATATATTATATATTACTAAAAGTTTATGAAATATTTATTATTTTTCATATTTAATGTGCACATAATAAAATTATTTATAATTTTTCATAAAAAGATCACGAGTTGTCAAATTTAAAATAAAAAAACGAAAAGTCTAGATAATGAAACAATTAAAAAATTTTTACAAAGTAAAAATTTGATACGTTGTAAATATAATTACAGTTTTTTTTCTATTCAAATAAATAATTGAAAACAGTGGAATAATTTCTCTTTTATTCCTTATAAATAAATAATAAATAAATAATAATATAATAAATAAATAATTTATAAATTGATCGCTTCCACTATGAATCTATCTAATTATTCAAAGTAATCGCGAAGAGAATTAAAACTTTCACTAGATTTGAATCAAGTTCCCTTTAACTTTAAGAGAACAGACAAAGTTTCTTACCTCGTTGTCTATCCGAGTTTTAGTCAAATTACGTATAATAAAATTAATATCACATTTAATAATTAAATTTTGAAGATATATTAAATATGTGTAATATTAGTCGATCATGTGCAAGGAAAATTTTTCAGTATTTATCAATATTATTCTTTTATTTTAGGAAAGAGACCATCTTTTTTCATAAGTTCTACCTAAATTATACATTTTTAATACTATAAAAGACTTACCACTGTATCTGGTATTTGGCATATAGGAGAAAACCATTTCTGTTCGATTGAAGAGAGTGATGAATAAATGGTATTTTCCATCGGCATTGGAACGAGGCATAGTCGTGCCTTCTATGAGTCTGGAACATTTTAATGCATTTGTGCTCGTTACTGCCGCCAACAGCAACAAAAATCTGCGAATGTCCCTTAAGCTTCTTATTCCCTGTAAAAAAAAAAAGTTTATCGATGAATTCACTTTGATGAATAACTATTATTATTCAAAATAATTTTCTTACTTATTTATACGAGATAAAAAACTTTATTGCTTATCATTAAGAAAAAGATCGATGATTCTTATGTACATTCAAATTTTTTATATACATTTCACAATCATATTTTATATAAATTACTTAAAATTATATTTTTATTTATTGTATTTTCTAAAAAACACAAAACAGTAGATAAATTGCCATTGATATTAAGTCATTTTATTTCAATTTTCTAAACTCTTCATCCTGAAAAATAAAAAAAAAATCGTGATAAATAGAGGAGAGGAGTGAAAATGACATCTCGGTTCTTCCCTGGCCATTGTTTTGATTAATGATCGAATTCGTACGTTATTCGTTTGTAAATTATCTAAAATCGGTGCAGTAAATAAAAATGATAGGTCTCAAGCGGGATTAGGATCGGAAACCGATTGACCTAATTTATCCTCGAGCATCCAGATGGTCGCATTCTGCGAGTTTTCATTTCACGTGAATGGAAGGTACTTCGTTTCTCTCTTCTACCCTCAGGTCACACAGGGGAAAAACGAAATATTCTATACCTATTGTTCGTACGTTTGTTCGTGCTTTTGTCATATGTACATGGATAAAAAACTACGAGGAAACAATTCGTGCAATAACGAAAATGGTCTACAATCAATTTATAAAATTTTACCAATCTCTTTTCAGACATGATTTCTTTTTATAGTAGCCAAATAACTTGCAATCTCTTTTCTTACAATCATATAAAAATTTAGTAATAAATATTTTTTAATAGTGAATATATAAAATGAATTAATATTTTATGAATTATATTTATTGTAGTTTCATTTAATTATAAGAAAATGAATAAACGTTGAAAATTTTCATTATAAATAAATAATTGTGAATAAATGTTAAGGTGTAAAATGTAATAATTATGATAAATATACATATATGTATATAGATGTTCATTTGATATAGATTATATAGAATATTGTTAAATGAATTTTTTTATATTGAAAATCAAGAGATATATCATCTAAGGTGTCGTATAAATGAAATTGTGTCATGATATTGCGTTCGTGGATTATGCAAAGGGATTATAAGTAAGAGATTGATAAAGTGATACAAGTCAACGAAGTAAGAGACCCAAGGATCCTTCATTGTGATTCTGTACAATGCTCGTACATTGTGTCAGAAATTTATGACACATATATTGCAAATGTACAGGATATTAATAAGTTACTTCATATGTTAAAAATAATAATAGTGGAATAAAGAAAATTTTTATGTGATTTATATGATTATTTATAATTTATCTATGTATTTATAAACAAATGAAAACCTAAGTTGATTAAATCTATTTAGAATAATATTATTAAATTTGAGAAGTTTATTTCAATCATATTTTTGCACTAAAAAATCAAAGTTTATTCAAGAAACAAATTTGATCATTTCAAAACATTTGTATGAAAATTTTATATATTCGTACAAAAATTCATTTGTCTATTAAATAAAAAAAAAAAAAAAATAGAACGAAATATTCTTTTTAACTATTGTCTAACTAAAATAAATTTACTATTATCACGGCTATTTGAGGCATGGAAATGTGATCATGTTACATGAACAATGGAACAGTAACGGAATAGGATGAACCAATGTGTAACTAACATGAGAAACCGAGGAATAGACTAACGTCGACGAACTAGTGGACTTTCGTGGACGAAATGGGTGTCTAGGAACCGCAGTGTCACCAGGGAAGTCAAGGATGAACTACTGAGAACCACAAGCTTGAATTGACAAATACTATTCCACTGACGAGAAAGTCACAAAGGAAATATCATAAACGAACTAATATCAAATTATCATTGAAAAATAAAACATTATAAAATAAATTAAATAATAGTACATAATATACACAATGTATAAATTAATATTGACATCTAGAATATTGAAATGAAGAGAAAAATCAATCATTTACTCAAATTGAATAAATATATTTATATGATTAAACTTTGAAATATAAGTAGCGAAATTTGATAGTTGAATCAGAAATGATCCATATCAATAGATTCAATCTTATTTAATCCTCGTTATTGAACGAGCCTTAACCTATTATAATTAAGAAATTATAATAACAATAATAATAATAGTAAATAAAGAAATACATGAAATAATAGAAATAAAATATCGAATATTTTCCAAAGTATCTTAAATATTATATGTTTCGTAGAAAAATATAAAAAAAAAATAGAAAATAGTATTTATATGTTCAATAAAATATCTATATTCAATACCGTAGTCGTTATATAAAAGATATGCAAGACGTTTTAGATTTTTTGCAAGCATTCGAACGCTTTCACGACTTACTATGCTTACGTGTTCCATTCAATCGGTCGATAACACGATTTTCTCTTACATAATTTCCAAGGCTTATTCATTGACGTTTGCCTTGATGAAGATCTTGGCCGTGGCGATTGCAGCAAATCCGTTTACATGACCGAGAAAGACTCAATGTCGTAACAACAACTTATAACAGGCGATGAGTCACGAATTAGAAGAGATGAGAAATGTTTTGCGTGATAACTTTCAAATGATTGCAAAGATTTTTATGGAATATTCTATCTTATGAATTAAAAATCATCTCATGATTCAATCTAGAATTTTAAAAACTTTTTTAAATTTGTGCATAAAAATTATTAATATTGTAAAATATAAAAAATGTATTACATAAAATTATAATCTTATTATTATTAGAAATATTTGGGACTGAATTCTCAATTAGATTTAAGATAATGAGAGAAATTACTTTTAACATTGTTAAATACAAAGTGAATTCGATTCAATCAGTAATTTTTACATTAACTTGCATAATATAAAATAATGAAATGCGTTTAATGCATGATACTGCTATGTCATATTATAATAAAAATATATAAGCTATATAAAAAATTCTACATGTTGAACACATTTATATAGTAATAAATATATAAATAATTGATGCTAATTTAATTGTATATCTATTACTAAATATAATTTAAATCACAAATTAATTATCTACTATCAAATGTATCTACTATCTATCTACTACCAAATGTTTTATTATTTGATTAAATAATTTATAATAAATATCTTGTCTCCAAAAGTAAATTACAATTCAATATTAAAAAATTCAATTATATATTCAATTTGATATATTATTTTAAAACATAAATATTTTATTACAATTTAGGTTATGTTGTCTTTTATATTTTATGTTTAGTTATTACAACAATTGATCTAATATATTCATTTAGCGATGAAAATAAAATAAATATTTTATGAGAATAAGATCGTTTGAAATATTATTCGAATCATATATTTTGTGATGCAAATTTTTTAATTAATACTTTGCAAGGAAAATTTTTACAATATACATTGCTATACGATGTTATAAAAAGAAAAAAAATCAATAAAAAAAAACATCGTATCTTAGAAAATTTATATAAATCACGATTAAATAATTTTATATAACATTATATCAGTTTAAAGTTTAAACAATACACTGCAATTAATTTTTAGATAACCTATATTTGAAAATATGTTCTTACAACAAAGATGAAATATGATGTAGAAACTTACAAGATTAATTATCAATTATCTTAATAAAGATTCATTACCTTCACAGAGCAAATATAATAATAATTAATTAAATTCGATTACCTATTTAATCATGCGATAAAAGCTGTTGTAACGATGGGAATCTCCATTTCACTCGTGTTATGTCTCGTTAATTACGTAATAACGTCACGTCGTGCAACAAAGCAAAATTTAGTGGTTATTATATGATCTACAATATGAAATGTCACTTTATCGGCTTCTATTAAATTAGAATATGAATATTCTACGACGAAGCACGTGAATGCCAGTTAGACTGCTGTTGCCAACACGTGCGCGAAAACATGTGTCCGTACTACTACTTTGGACGTCTATACACGTACGACAGTTACTGACTGACTCATCTTGGCAAAGATGTAGCGTCATGCATTGCGTTTCTTTCGCGCTTTCTTTTTGTGATGTATGATATACTGAATATTTTGTGATATATAAAGTTTTATTATTATGAGTTACTATTTTTCTAATAAATGGTAAGTATAAAAAAAAGAAAGAAAAAAATTATTTTTTTTATAAATAATATAACAAAAAAATGAAGTTAATTTTTGTAACGAATACATATCGATGATGAATTGAATAAGGTTAGGTATAAATGAAATACTTTAAATATTTCGTATCATTGCATTAAATAATATGAATATACATATTTCTCATTAATATGACATATTCGATATAATTATGATGTATATTGAATTTTATAAATCTTTTTTTTATCTAAAATATCGATATATTGATTAATAAATCGATATATCTCTAATCTATCTCTAGTCTATCATAAATAATATCTTTAATAATCTTTAATAATACTTATATAATAAGGTTTTAAAGATTAAAAAAATTTTAAATTTTAAATTTAAAAAAAAATATTAAATTTTACCTGAATATTTTTCTCGATATTTCAATACTTTAATTGTTGTCTAATTTTATTATATTATACTTAATATATATCATATCTTTTTTTCTTCTATGGAATTACAATATATGTACATATTACATTTCGAAAATGAATTTGCCACTAGAAGGATTCATACTAAATTCTCATAAATACTATCTAACTATCCTTTTCACACATATATATAATTTCATATATATAATTTCATCTCCGTTATTGCAATATATAAGATACAAATCTGTTAAATAATCTTACTTAATGAAAAAATGAATTCAGGACGAAATCTTTTTTTCTTTTCTTTCTTTCTCGTTCTTTTCTACTAAATACGTTACATCAAAATATCTCTAAAATAATCGATTGTTGTTCGATTATTTTAATTTTCACTTTCATATCGATTTATTATCGATATTAAAACAATTTTCGAATAAATGATTTATATTTTTAAATATACATAATATAAAGCAATTGTAATACAATTTTAAGTTTTTTAATAATAAAAGGCTATTGCAAAAGATGAAAATTCTTTGAAATGTCGACAGATCTTTATCTCGAAGGCATTGTCTATTCAATTTTTTTCACCAGAATTGAGGATAGAACCTAAATTACCCCTATTATACGTCAGTAGGTGAGGAAACGTGGTTGGAAGATGGTTGGAGTGGAATAAAAAGTGAGAATAAAAGAGAAAGGGGCTTCGAGGATTGCATCGAACAGAATGAAACTGCGAGAGACAGATTGTGAGAACTGCCAATACGTCATTCGAATGTCAATAAGTCAAGGGAAGACGGTTTTAACCGTTTAAATTATAATTTTTAGAAATTATTAAATTTTGAATAAAAATTTTTTAAAATTGATTCATTAATTTAACATCTGTATAATTTTTTTTTGATTTTTTAAGATCATGTTTTCATAAAAACATCTATTATTTAACATATATTTTTGCAAATTTGTTGGTAAGTATTAGATAATAAAAAAAAAAATGTCTTTTAAAAAAATCGTTTCATTGTAAATTTTCTTTGATATAAAATATGACTATAGATATTATTTATTTTATTTTATTAAAAATAAATTTATATATTTAATTTTTCAGGATCATAAAATTAATATTACTCAACTTGCAAAAAAAGGACTGAAATCACCATATTACATCTTTATATTCAATGCAATAAAATATAAAATTATACAATTGGATATCCATATATTTATCACATGTATATCACATGTCTATCATCACATGTCTATCATTGTAAATGCAAAGATTTTTCAAATGGAAACAGACATTCAGATTGAACTCTGATTGCTTTTGCTTTTTTTGAAATATGTTATGATTGAACAATTTAGAAAATAACAATAAATATTCAATCGAATATCGAAAAAAAACGCTTATAGTTTGTGGATTTAATTCTTAAAATAAAATTTTAATTTTTTTTCTAAATTTAAATTATTTTTTTTAATGTAGTTTTAAAATAAAAAATTAGTAAAATATTTTATTTTCTATTTTTTAATTTTGTACATATTTTGTTTCAATTTTAATTATATTATTATTTTGTTTTTTTAATTAATATATATAACAACAATTAATTTTATTAACTTTTATCTTTATTATATAGTTAGAAGCATTGTGCTAAAATCTAAAATACGACAAAATCTTGAGTAAACTGAAAAAGATGTCTTATCTTTCGCAACTTTCGAAGAGGATCAAAATGAACAGAAACATAGTTCTCTACTAAAATGATTGATGATCAAATGGGAGAAGAAAAGAAGCAGCTCGATTTTATATCATTTACAAAACAGTTTTGTGAAGTTCGAAAGAAATTTCAGACATTAAAAAATTTATCATTATGGTATTATTATTTTCCTTTTATTTTCGTTTTAATACATTTCTTTATTATAAAATTTTTATCGAATACTACTAATTTTTTTTTGTCCATTCTTAAATTTAATGTTATTATATAAATTAGTTTTTTTAAGTTAGTTTCTACTAAAGAATGATAATATTAAATTTCAAATATATTATTATCATAAGTAAAATTATTAAAATTGTTAATAATAATTAATTTAATCTAAAGCTTCTTATATTAATTCCTGTTAAACATTATGATTATTATGTTTAACATACTATTTCCAATTTCACACAAATTTGAGTGAAAATTTTTCCGCAATGATAATTTCAACATCAAATTTAATCTCTCAACTGAAACTGTAATTTTTATCAAAAGCATTTCTATTTTTTATTCTATCTCGTAATTTTTTTAATAACAAATAATAATAAATAATATTTTATTTCGAAAAATTGAAATATATTTGGTATCATATAGTTCTCATAAAAATAGAATAAAAGTTTTTTGAATAATTTGTTTTACCACAATCAGATTTATTTTGATATTTCTTTCTCTTTCTAATTTTTACAAAATTAATTTACGAAATTAAAAAAACAATTATAAATTATTTCTGTAAAAATTTATCATATTAAAAAAACATACTTTAAATGCATATTAGAAATAATTATAGAAAAAATATTATTTTATTTATTACGAAACATGTACGTCATATTAAGTCATTTCAGAGGTCATTGCCAGTCTACACCCTTGTTGCACTCGTGACCTTTTCCACTAGGCACTTGGTAAATCATGTGCATGTGCAAATCGATATTTGCATAATATTTGCGCTTTAATGATTCAATGATTTCAATTAAATCTGATTTCGCATTATTATTATTATCTTAAAATTAATTATTGACATAATCGTAAATAAAATTTAATCTAAATAGCGTATTATTTATTTCTTTGAGAAAAATTTCTTAATAAATATTATAATATATTTATTAATATAAACTTTAAAAAATACTTTATAAGACAAAATAATGAATCGAATAAACGAGTATGTTGGAAAACTTCAAATCTGGCTTTTAAATGAAAATGTGATTTAACAATTGATTTAATTTATCAGTTTATTTCAAATATTTTATTTTAAATTTAGCTATTAAATAATTCATTTCTATTAATATCATATTTTATTGATATTTTTAATTTTTAAAGAGTGAATAGAATAAATTAATAATTTAGATATATTAAAGGATGAAAATTTTAAGTTAAGCAAATTTTCTTAAAGAATTTGCAAAAAATCTACTTTTTCATATGTAAATCAAATAAATGAAAATATAACATTGCACATTTTTCAATTTATTTCAATTTAAGTTGACAATAGAATGAAATGAAGAATGAAACTTTTCCTTGCATCCTATCAGCATTTTAACAATCCCTTTTATGTTCATACACAAAAGGATTTATACATATATGTTGCATTTTATTACATAACTCAGTATAATATAATTCAGTATTATTACTAAATATTTTATATTTTATAATATAATATTTTATATATAATGATATTTTTATTGATGTTTATAATAAATGAAAAATTATGCAAAATTATATTATATTCAAATAATAATTGAAATATTATAAAAATATCATACTTTTATTTTTTTATTAAAGAAAATGCGTATAAAAAATCATTTTTATATAGGATTATTCACTTTTCACAAATAAGCTTATATTTTAAAGAATTAAAAAAAATTTGGTACTCACCATTATGATCATCGGAATGTTTTGAACATAAACGCGTAAACAACACGTGCACTAAATTTATAATAATTATTTTTCATACATCATGTCACGTGTGTTAAATATAATCAAATTATACATTCAACAGATCCGTCACCTTTGCGAGTCCCCGGCCAACTGACTGCGAGTTTCGAGACGCGCTAATAACAACCCACTACTTGCGCGAATCAAATGCGCAGTACACTTCAAAGGAGATTTTTTCGTCACGAGTCAGACGCAACCCAGTACATATGGGTTCCTGTTATTTCAACACAGTGGCTCATTATACGTTTTTTCTATTTCCATTTACATTGATAGAGAAGTAAAATCAATAAGATTTTTTATGTAAAAGTATTTGTTAATTTAATATAAACGAGACATTCAAAATGAATGAATCATTCATAGAATATCAAAGAATCAAAAAAATAAAATTTGAATGATTGTAGTTATTGAAAATCATAAATCTAAAATATCAATCTAAAATAAAAATAAAATTTTTAGCTGATATGTGTATAAATAATAAATGAATTCAACCATTAATAAAGGTATAAATATACATTTATAAATATACATTATTCTAAAACTTGCATATTTATAACAATTAAAATTAATTAATAATATTTTCCATATAATAATAAAAAAAATTAAGTTTTCTGTTTCAAAATATAATTCAAAAATATTTTTCATATGTTTTAATATTTTTTTAAAATATGTGACATGAATATTTGTTTTTACATTTTTATTTTTAAGGTAAATTGCATATCTTAAATTGTTGTTATAGGTTATATTGTTTTAATACATTCAATTTACAATATTTTCATAAAACTTTCTTTCAGCTATTAAGTAACATCGAGGTCAGAAAATCAACAAAAATGAACTTATGTTTTTCTCTTATGGTTCTCACTATAACAAAAAATAGGCGCCACGATAATTACCAAATAAAACTTATATGAACTTCTCACAACGAAACGAACGAAATAGATTAACTGGATGAAGGCCAATATAATGGGTACAATTCTTTAAAATAATTCTTTCAAAAATATTCTAAATCATCTCCAACTTTCTCTTTCCATTCTTTTCAACATTATTTAATCAATTACAATGAATTTAGTAAATCATACTCTCTAAAAAAAAAATTTCTTAACAGTTTTAATTTAACTTATGTTAAAATATTTGTTAAATTAATTAAAAATATGATATGATGAATATTTCAGATAATCCTACATATTGATTTATTACGTATGGCTATAGGTAAATATAAATATTTTAATCTGTTGCTATATTTTACGTAAATAAAACTACAATCCAGAACAACTAATATTATTAAATTGACGGATTATCGATAATTTACGAAACTTGCAAAACTTCACTTAACTGATCACTATTATATAGTCAAATATTATTAACATATATATCAATAATTTGCAAAATTTCATTAATAAGAGCGTTATACATATATTCAATATATTCATTCTCCGCGAAACTAACAAAGTATCGAACGATTTGCCGACAATTGCCTGCCATTAACTCGCTCGTCATTCCTCTCTCCACTTTTTGACGTTTTAAAATATCGGTTAAAATCATCGTGTTGCGTATCTCCAACGAAATTCTCAAGCTTTGTACATTATAACCCGAACCATCTACTAACGTACCCTATGTAATCACGTCGAACGATGGTCTAGAAGAAAAGAAATTCAAAATTCTTTTTCCGCAAGTCTCGTTTAAATCAATTATTTCTTTTTCTTTTTTGCCAAAGGCGACTAAAACGGTGGCATCGTTCAATGTCGCGAAGTCGTCGACTGTCTTGAACGAGTGGACGGTCGTGCGAACTCGCTGCCTTTCGACCGGTAGGAACATGAAATCGAAACCCGACCACTTCTCCGGGAACGCCGCAAATTTCTCCACGTGTCGCAGACGTCGAAATCTGGATCCAGTTCACTGTATAACCGCGACGACGAGCCATCGATCACGATAATGAATCAATTAACGACATCGCACCAACCATCAGGTTGTGAACATGATTCCTTTTAAACAATCCTTTTATTTTTATTTTAATTTTATTCACGGATTATGGTTATTCTCCGCCTCGTCATATTTCTTGTATTCTTATAATTTTTATTCCTTTGGTTGAAAAAGAGAAAGGTTGACAAGAATTGCAAGACATTTGAGAAAGAGAGAGAGAGAGAGAGAGAGAGAGAGAGAGAGAGAGAGAGAGAGAGAAAGAGAGAAAGAGAGAGTTTTGAGATATGGAAATTGATATTGGGAAATTTGTGCATGACTTTAAAAAAAAAATGGAAATTCGAGTTTTATGGGAATATGGAATGTCGATTTTAAAGTAATGAGCGATAATTATATATTTAATTGATTATTGAATCAAATTATAATTAATATTATAATTGATTGATATGATTATATGATAAGATTAATTTCAATTTAATTGTGTGTTTATAGAGTTTCAAAACGATTGAATTGCTAAGTTACAATTATTAGGATATGCAATTAAGATTGACTGGTTGTAATCATTAAACCAATTCTTGATTAATTATTAATGATTTCATTTGATTATCAATACTTATATTTTGATAAATGGAAATAATAATATACATAATTAAATAACAATAGAGAAACATAAACTTGTTCATTCATTCTGATTAACAGTTTCGTGAGACCTTTTAACTATTTTATTTGTGTAGTTGGCTATATTTGATTATATTAAAATTAATGAATCGTTGCATTTATAAACTTGAAATACAATTTTTAATTTTTTAGACTTTTTAAACTATTTATTGAATATAAATATACACACATTCAATACTTTTTTATTAAGTATGAAATATTAATTAAATCTTATTGCTTTCCAATATCGTGGGCAAAATATGAAATAGAAACGCAAATATTTATATTGTTGGTAAATTTAAAATCGTAAAGATATTTTTTATAAGAAAAATCTATATTAATTTGTAACCAATTATAATAGAACAAATAAAAATGTGAAATATATGTTTGAAAATCTAGAAAACGAAGATACTATCAACGTTATAGAGAAAAGTGCGATGTCAAGTGCAGGGATCAAGGGTGCTTCCGCGAGTCAAAAACTTAAAAATCTGAACAACCATTCAGGACGGAACTCAGTTCATGTTTGTATCAAATTACATATCTTTGTTGAAAAAGATTTTTCGGACCGATTAATTTGACAATCAAAGATTATTATTGCAATTAATTTAAATTTAATGTAAAATTTATTAATCAAAAAAAAAAATTGCATAAAATTTCACTATTTTTAATACATAAAAAAAATCACAGTATCGAAACGATTAAAATTAAGAATATTTAGAAAAATAAGAAAGAATTCTTTATTCCAGGGAGAGACTACGAGCAATACCACGGAAGATGCTTCTATAAATAATAAATCGCAGACCAATACCGTTCGACGTCCAGGAAAATCATCAATCAGCCCAACTATGCATAAGAGGCCTACGACTAATCTGCCTGCCGGGTCTACACTTAGGCCCGAAAATCAATACGCGATGAAGAAGAAACGTTATTTACTGTTGAAGAAAGAATTGACAGATAAGCAGGTGACTAATCTCAATTTTGAATAACTTCTAAAAAATAAATTATATGTATTATTTACTACTAACGATTCTTAAATTTGAACTTTTGAAAGTTAATTAATAGTTAGTTAAATAATTAAGTTAAATAATTCATCTTAATATAATTAATCGAAAGATCACCAAACGAATTTAAATTCCATCAGAAAGCCGCGCAAGAACTCTACACCGAGTTGTCTCAACTACGCGAGAAGCTGCTCACCACTGGCGCAAGAGATCCAGGAAAACCGGAAATTCTAAAGCTCGAGATTGGACCTCCTAAGGCCTCCTTTCCAACAGAACAGATTTGTAATGAATCGGTGGACACCCACATAGAAAAGCTTTCTGCTGGAAACGAGTTGTTAGAATGTTTGGAAGATCGGTTGCGTGAGATCCCGCAGAGATTGAGGACCATCTGTAAAGAGTTATTGGATAAACAGTCGAATTTCACCAGTTTCATCACCTCTCATCTGATCGAAGCCAGCGAGAATACAGAGGCGAATCCCGAAGAAGTGACGATACAATTGGAGGTACACCAGAGGGATTACGATAGTATTAGATCACGTTTAAACGAGATTCAAGAGTTGGAGGAGAAATCGATCGCAGAGCTCAGGAACAACGTGCAGAACATGATCGATGAATATGAGCATTCCAGATCGAAGTTAAAGGTATAGGCGTACTATCGATATCATATTTATATATATTTATATATATTTATATATATTTAAATATATATATTTAAATATATTATAAACTAGAATTAAAATGATAATATGGAAATAATTAGAAAAAATGCAAATTTCGTTTAAAAAATAATTGTGCAATTTTAGTAATTTCAAGAACAAAACTTAATTTAACTATTTTAATTTGTGTTTTTTTAAAAGGAATTAAACACGATAGAAGCTCAGAAGGAGTTGCAAGTACATTTGAATGCGGCAATGGAGGAGCTTCAAGCGGAAAAAGACAAGAATAATCAAGGGAAGGATCGTCTTCGACAAACTGAGACACATTTGCAGAAGGCGCGTACGAAAATCAGAGATTTGGAAACGAGTATGGCTGCGGATAAGGATAAGATACAACAACTTCAATGCAATGTGAAGAGTCTAGAAGGCCAGATGAAGCAGAAGGATATGGCAATAGATGCTAGATTAAAGGATATGCAAAAGACGATGAAAAACAGTGAGGATTTGGTTTCCAAGGTGGAAAAACAGAGGGATAGTTTTGAAGCAAGGTTTCTTTTCTTTAATTTTCTTTAATTGATGATTGTATTCTTATACTTCTAAAATATTATAGAATAAGATTTTTATTTTTGATATTGTTTTTGACCTGATTTAGATTAGTGGAACTGAAAGAGAAAATGAACAGTAAAGAAAACGAGTCGATGAGTACTATCAAGGAGATGTCTGAGAGATTGAAAGCGATCACTGCTGATCTTGGCGTTGAAAAAGAGAAAAGGTATGGGAGAATTTTTAAGTTCTTTGTTTTCATTAAGTGAAGAATCTACAAATAATGGATATTATTTAAAATATTATATATTAAATATTTACGATGTTATATATTATAATACTAAAATTTTTTTTGAAATAAATGAAAATACAGGCAGCAAGTAGAAGATGCATTCGTCGAATTAGATGAAAGGTATAGAAATCTCGAAGAGAAGAGCAAACAACTATGTGAGCTTGCGGAGAAAAATAAAGATATTACTATCACAGGTATAAAAAATAAAAATTATAATATTAAGAAATAATTGAAAAGAAAATTAATAATATCAAGACTTAATAAGTCTTATTAATAAATATCTTTTTGCTAAAATAAAAATTTAATTAACGTTTCATTTTACTTATAGAAGGTAATCATACAGAGAACGAAGTACGCTTGTTCAACGAATTGCAACAAACCAGGAATGAACTAGAAGCTGAGAGACAAACAAAATTGCAGCTGCAACAGGAGAAAGAGGAGATCATTGCAGTGATGCATCAAGCGGCCGTTAGTTTGCACTACTTTCGGGACATGTCCTCGTATAAGTCCTAAAAACTGCTCAATTTATTTCTTCGTTTGTTAGATACTCTTTTATCTTCTAATTGATGGAATAATAATAATTTATAGTTATTATTTTTTTTTGTTTCTGTGACCTAGTGTCGCGAGGAGGATGAAGACTCGAGGGAAAAGTTGGCTGCCGAATTGGTGTTCAAATCCAACGAATTACAAAAGCTGATGATGCAGTACACAGGACTGAAAAAGGTTGCAAAAAATGCGTAAGTTACTCTATTGTTAGTGTAACATGATATTGGATTGGTGAATTGCGCAATTTTTTTAAAAATAATACCTCTAAAAAGAATAATTTTTGTCTAAATTTAAAATTATTATAACATTTTTCAATATAAACAAAAACAAATTTTCATACATTGAAATATTATTGCATTTCAAATAACTTACTTTTTTTCTTTTTAATTCGATAATCTAGCCAAGAAAAAAATGGGATGTTAGAAAGACAATTGATGGAAATTCAAGAGCGGCTGCATTCTCAGTCCATGGAGGGTGGAAAAGCTGGGTTGAGCGCTCACGCGATTGAGCTTCAACAACAGGTCTCTGATCTTCGCAATAATTTAGCAGAAATAATTCGACAAAAGGAAGAGTTAGAAACTGCGCTCACTCAAAAGCAATTAGAATTGGAACAACGCGATCGTGTGATGCGTGAACAGAGCAAGTTCCTTAAAGTCAGAGATGAGTTGCTTGATATTTTGAAAGGAAAAGTACAGCAAGAAAACGGAGAATTGTCGAATAGTGATGAAAACAATGAATATCTCGAACAGGTAATTCGGGATGTTTTTTTTATATTTTCTTATTTAAATTGTTTAATTTTTATTAAGAATTAAGAGTGAAATTGAAACTCAGATTTTAAAAAAGAGATTAAATATAATTAAATATTTATTTAAATATTTTCTTTCGTTTAATAGTTCAAAAAGAAATTTTTAGAAAAAAACTAATACCAAATTATTTTTTATAATCAAAATTTTAATTTGAATTCTAAAAAAAAGTAAAAAAATTTAGATTTTTCTCTCCTTTTGATTTTTCTTGCCTTTTAACAATTAATTTCACTAATTCACCACTAGATAATAAATATATATATATATGAAAAAATATAATTACCATTTTAATTGATAGAACTTTTCAAAGTATTGGAAAATATTTCTAATCGTCCAGATCCACAAACAGATAGCTGCCAAGACTGAAGCAATCCAAGAATTATACACAACTTTAGAGAATAAGCAATTGCAAATCATGCGTTTAGAGAAGATGGTGAAGTTGATGGAGGATCATCAAGATCGAGCCCAGGCTCAACGCACGCGTTTAGAAAATCGTATTGCTCAACTTGAGCTAGCCCTACAAAGGAATAAGGAACAGCGGTACGTTAGGGAACAATCATTATCTTCTTTAAAATTTCAGGAGGATAGTGAACCAGATAAATTATCACAAAATTATCTTAGCGATTCTGATCAAATTTATTCACAAGATTCCTTCAAATTACAGTCTTTCCCACATGAAAATGAGCACGATTCAGGTGCTAACAGGGTAGAATTTTTATCTCATAAGAGCATTCCACAAACTGATCATCGACACTTACATGATTACAGAGACTATATACAGCGACAGACATCCTCTGATGAGGAGCAACCTTATATTTGTGAACGTTGCCGCCAAGAAACATCTGTAGAGAAAGACAAAGATGAATGGTCAAATAAAAATGATTCCACTGACAATACTAACGAATCTTTGTCTAATTGGTTAACAAACATGTCTAGTGTGGAAATAACCCAGGATGCATTAAATAATCAGGATTTGCAAAACAATAATTATTTTTATGACTTACCTGTGACAGATAGAAATAGAAGGTATACTTACGGGGTGCACAATCCATACAGAGAATTCAATATGGAAGATAGTAGCAGGGAGTCGCTAAATCCTTATCAGAGAGAATATCATCAACATCATTACCGTGTTCGATCGCCACTCGCACATAAGACCATGCCTTATAGTGTCGCTTTATAAACACTGTATATAGTTTCTTCTGTGAAGTTATTGTTAATATACAACATACCTTATATCTTGCTATTATTTTTAAAGGATTTATATTATCTACATAGGAATAAATGATCATTATTAAATTTTAATTTTCTCAGTAATACAATAAACACGTGTCGCAAATAATACATGAGATATGATTCAATTAAATTTTCTAGAAATATTACATAAGTCTGTTACTGATTATACATATTATTTACAATCATTATTAATAATTGACCATAGATTAAAACTTCAATAATAAAAATTCATATATCATTTGTAAGAACAATTAGTGATGTACATTGTAAATAAATTTAAATATTGTATTAATATGGTCTGATTTAATAGGCTAGGTACTCCCTGCTACCGAGTTTTCAATGTAATATCGTTGATACTAAGTTCCTTACAGAGTGCCTAGCCTTTGAAACAGACCGATTTTTAATTTATTCATTTCTTTTTGTTTTTCTGATTTGGTTTTTCTGTTTTAGGGGTAAGGGCTTCGGCATCCTGTAAGGAACTTTCTAATCACCGACGCGGTAAATGTCTCCATGAATTTCGATCACAAACAAAGAGATTATTTTGTGTTATTAAGCCTTTGGTAAGCGGTATTCTACGTCTTCGCAAGATATTGTTAATTCAATATTCAATACAATAATCGAATCGCAAATTGTTAGCAATGTTTTAAAAAAAAAGTGTAAATTGAGTGGTAATTTTATATTTTGAATTTGTTAAAAAAGTTAAAAAATTATTGATATATTGATTTACACCATTATATCCGATGAGGCTTATTTATATCCTTGTATGTTTTGTATGCATACTTTATTTTATAATAAATGTTATAAAATTAAATTATTATATATACAATATTGAACACAATATTAATTACTATCATTGTCACTACTGCCAGAATATGTTCCCAGTAAGGAAAGACCATTGTTGCTATTGTTTGTTGAATTATATGTGTTTTCAGATGTTTTATGTTCTTCTATAGAAATACCTGTTTCTTTGCTTGTCACAGTTTGAATTTCTTTCTTATCCGCATTAGTAACTGAAGAATTCATATTTACTTTAGTAACTAAATTTGTTTTTCTTTTAACTATACCTAACAAGTTTTTTCTATTTGATGATGATGATATACTCTCAGACCATAATGATGTTTCAGAAGGTTTTATCCTTTGGTTCTCTTTAGTCTTCATTGAAAAAGTAGGAAAATGTTTTATAGTTTTCAAGAAATGCTCATAATTTAATGCTTCATTTTAAATGGAATTGAAAATAAAGAAATAAAATACTTACTTTTTCTTGTTCTATCGTAGATATATTCTTCTCATTTTTATTTTTATTTTTTTTCATTATTTTTTTTGGTGGTTCATTAGTTTCATTTTCATCTAATTCTACAATTTCTTCTTCTACAACAATTTTTTTACCAAATATTGCTTTAACACACTCTTCATCATATTCTTCTTGTTCTTTTTCGGTTCTTTGTTTAGCTGTTTCTGTATCAAATTGTTCTAACATTTGATCATAATCAATAGTTTGCTGTCTACGATTCAAATCTTTTAATTCTTCTAAAGATTCTAACAATTCTAATTCCTGTTTTGATTGTAATGTTCTTTTTTCTAAAAGTTTCATTGGATTAGTAGCCTCTTCTTCTTTTTCTTCATCTTCTTCTCTTTGTGCTTGTTCTTCAGCTAATTTTAGGGCCATAAAATTTCTAGTGGCACCTGCTTCAATCTCATAATCTGTATTCTTAGGATCTGTTTTGAAACTTATTTCTTGAAGGCACCGAGTACATTTTATATAAAATCTGTAAATTCGTATTCCTAAATAATCATCACCTTCAACATCCTCTTTACGGGCATTAAATTTTTTTCCTTTATAAATATATTCTCCACAAGTTTTGCATCTCATATTAAAAGGAGCCATTAAACGTACCGTATATTGTCTATTGCGGGCTAATTTCATACGAGGAATTTTTGATGGATCGAAATCCGGTGGATAATATTTCTGAAATATAAAAAAATTATTAAAAAATATTTAATATATTAAATTAATATACGTTAACATATATAATCAATTTAAGCATTTTTCTATTTAATTTAATTATAATCAATTATGTAAAATTTTACTTACATTTAAAACTTTACGTTCCGACATGTTTTTAACTTAATATAATAAAATTAATCACGAAAAATATTTATAAATAAATATAAGAAATGTACAGGTTAAGTACACTTTAGGTTAAGTATGTTGACAAGATACCAATTGACATAGAGCGTCGAATACTCGATCAGTGTTGCCACTAACATTAAAGTTTTATCTATATACTTTTAATATTTTAATATTGGTATACATGATATTCAATTCTTTACAAATATAAAATAAATAAAAGTTCACAATTATTCGTTAATTCCGCCATTGTGATTTTAGAAGTTTTAGTGTTTAAAGATACATTAGAAAAAAGTTAAATATAGATATTTAGGAAAAAAAATATATAAAATATTAAAATATAGTCGTTTATCCTAAGATCTTAAATTGTGTTAAAATTAGTGAATTTTTGAAGAATCCTTATTCGTAATTTTTATTTAAAGATGAAAATATACATGTGATATTCAAATTACAACAGCATTGAATGATCCTGTTTAGTAAGTAAAATTAAAAAGTTCTTCTTATTTTATAAATAGTTGATACTTATATATATATTTTTGGATAATAAAAAGAGGAAATTATTATAATGAAAAAAAGAGAAAGAAAATTAATAATAAAAGTTTCAAGTTTTTTATTATAATTATCGTAATATAATTTTTACACATTAATATATTTCATTTTTGAAATGAGAAAATGAGAAAATGGCGGGAATTCATATTTCAATATTCGAAATGTTCAAATTACGAAATTATGATGTAAGATCTTTTTTTATTGTTCATTTTGAATATACATATCTTTGTTATAAAATTAATTATGGTTCATTTTTTCTATAATCTTCAATCTATTTAATAATTGTAAATTATTAAATTTATATTGAAAGATATAAAAAAATGAACCTTACAATATTAAAGTTTTTATTAATTGTCTGTTTTATTAATAAATTTAATGATATTTATTTATATAAGACAAAATGAATCCAATTAATAATAAAAAATTGAAAAAATATAATTACTATCTACTATATGTATTAGTTAAATTTTTGGAATTATCAGTGTTCGTCATTATCGCAGTAACTAATCATTGTAAAATTTGCTAATGTAATTCGTTTCACATGGGACGAATTAAAATTGGCAACAAGACCTCCCCGGATGTTTCTCTGAGTTTCTTCTCTCTAACGTGAATTTAATATCCGTGAATATAATGCGGACATTTGACCAAACGATGAAAGCGAGCGCACAGAAGAGACGAAAAGGTCCCGTCTTACTTCGTGGAACTGGATTCAATTCGGCTTCGTACGTGTATAAAGGTTATTCAGCTAAACGCAAGGTCATGGGTACATGACTTGGGTCAGTCGAGCGCGTAAAACGGGCAAACAAGAATCTTTACGCAAAAGAAAAAAGAAAAAAGAAAAAAGAAAATGAAGAAATGGAAGAAGAGGAAGAATAACCTTAAAGACATACCACTATCCCACGTTCCTTTTGTGGAACGGCAGAGGTGCCTTTATGAATACATTACTGGGACCGCGGTGTTTAAAATCTGTTACGTGTGTATATACATTTTTCCATTTCAATCCGTTTCTGTTGGACTTGACTCTTCATGGCTTACCAAGATTTAAGCTACTGACATTTTGCGGTCTGTATTCTTGAATATTGTTTTGGCTATATAATATTTTTTTAGTATAATCCTTAAGGTATTATACACAGAAATTTATTTTATTTGGTTCTTTTTTCTTATTTTCATTGTCAATTCTATTCTCTTCAATGTACATAAGATGATCGTAGATAATGTTTCTCGTTGAATTCTATTGGTTCTATTAATGGTTGGATTCCTAACCTGTTTAATCCTCGAGAGGTTATAATTATTTTCATTTGCAATTATTTTTATGATAGATTTTATTCAAAGGATTTTTACACTTATTTATTTGAATTTGGTTACATTATAATATTCTACTAGTAATATTTTTCATTTTCATTTTATTTCTTTGTAAATATAAAAAAAATGTTAGCAGATTGATACTTTAAATTTAATAATTGTTACTTATAAGTATATTATATCTATACTTGTATTAAGTTAATTATAATTTAAACATACATACAGACATAAATTTTTAACAAGTGTGTATGTGTAAATTAGAAAGGAACGTGAGGTCAAGCAACTTTTATTTTGTATAGTCACAATACAATGCAATCATTATAAATTGCATTCCAACCTTCATAGTAACGGCTCGAAATGAATAATCAAAGTATGAATATCATTTTTCTTTTTAAAAAAATATAGAAATAGTAAAAGTTTCATTGATAATTTTAATCCATAATCATATTAGGAAATTTGAAGATAATTATTACGACACAACATTTTAATAATAAATAAGTGATAGTAGCGGTAAAAAGAGTAGGAAGAAAAGTCTTAACGTGAAAGAAATCTTAATTAACGTTTTTCATATCTACGTCATGTTACTGCTTATTTCTGTATGTCGGCTACTCACATTTTTGAGTGGGCTGTACTATTCGTGGAAGCCGTTCCATTCATGGAGTGTAGATGCTGTTAGCAGTCAGCGGTGCTCATTTTATGCACGGTTTCGTACTTTCTTCTATAAAAAAACTTAAAAAAACAAAAATAAAAAAAAACAAAAGAAAATGAGAGAAAAAATATGGAGAAAGATAACAACTTAAAAAAATTGAGTTGAAATTGATTGAAATATTAAAAACATTTATAGATTTATATATTATTCAATCCAAAAAAAAATATTATTAATTGTATTATTAATTGTTCTATTTTAATACATTAATATGTTAATCTATTAAGAATATATAATGTATTAAAAAATATTTTTCAAAATTGGTATTTAATGAATTAACTAAATATCATTTAACTTTTAATTGTCCAATTTTTTATTATTAAAAAACAGAATTCCATAAGAAAAAATAAATAATAATCAGATTGTACTATCTGATAAATACGATGGGATAGTTAAAATAAATAATTTTTTACTGATAGTCTATCTAAATTCTTAATTAGATAATTATATTCATTTTATATTCATTAATTTCAAAAATTTAGTATTATAAAGATATCAATATATAATGATTTTGTATGAAAATAATTATAAATGTCAAAAAAATTATAAAGAATTGGAATATTCAAAATAGCGTTATAGATTTTGAAAGTTTAAAAATTAAAAACTAATTGAACTTGAAGACGCATAAATAACATGACTATCATCAAGGCCATCGTCTACTATTGTTACGGATTACCGCTACGCACGTTTACTACAACTCTGAATGACGTAATTCTACGTTCCTTGTTCATTGTCAGTAGAAGAAGCCAACGTATTTTTAATGTCTGATTTTATCGCAATGATGTCACGCCTGATGAAATTAAAAGTGAGAAATTAAAAGTCGCCATAAGGTTATCGCAAGACAGGAACTATATATCAATGTGTAACTTTGAGTACAATTGAGTG